GCATTCTCATAAAATGTACTCACATGGCATCTCTCTACCTTCATATTTTCCCCAACATCTGTAAAAATTTTCTTAACACAAAATTAATTTAGTACTACTCACTCTCTGATATTCACATTCCTCAATTAGAACCCATCCTTATAAAGTCAAAGGTTGAAAGAAAATAGAAATTAAAGCTCCATTGCTCTGGGTTGTGAATATTTCTAAACTGAGTGAGTTATTACAACAGCACTTGTCTACCATTTACCTTGGCAGGAGGAGCACAGGCACTGGGATTACAATAATACGTGCTACTCTGTCCCAGCACTGGTCACTCTCCATGGGTTCCTCCACACCTGCATGTCACCCTTCTCTGGGGCCAGGAGACTGACCTTTAAAGACTGTCAATGGGCTTCCTCACCTTCTACTTCTCACTAGGTTGAGATATTGGAAGACACTAACAATAGATCCAAGGCAGGGAAGCAAATGATTTCACCCCCGCTCCCTCCCTGAGCACACAGGTTGTAAGGGACCACATTTCCCCTCTGCCAAAGCCTACACTCCTGAAACGTTCTCTCTCAGAGCTGTACCTGTGGCTGTCTGGGAACCAGAACCAGCTCCCTGTTCTCCTGTCATCACATCTGAGGTTGGTTCTGGCTCCCACTCTTGTGAGCCTCAGGGGATTTATCACTTGTTGATTTCTTTTAACCCTTCCCATACCCCAGAAAATGGTCTCTTCATTAAACTCTAACCCCATTTGTGTGTGTCATCTGTTACCTGCCAGAATGATGACAGATATGTCCACCTTCCATTAACCCAGTGTTTCTCTGCCTGGTGAGGGTTACAAACCCCTTTGAGAGCCTAAATTGAAAAATAATTACAGAGTCCTCTCCCTGCAGAAGTGGACATAGTCATGTCATGTGAATTTTCAGATACAATTTCAAAGAGGTAACAGACCCTTAAAACATACATTCAATTCCAAGGTATGAAACCCTTCCATGGCAAGGTGATTGTGAAGAAAAGAGTTTTTATTTTTAGAACTGAATTATATGAATATCACATTGGTCTTTAAAATGTCCTATTTTGGGCTATCAGATAGGGGAACATGAAGTTACAAGAATCCCACTAAACCCCCAAAATCTTTGAATAATGAATAGGTATAAAGATACTACTCTTATTGAATCTTTAATTTTACTGCTTTCCTTCTTCTATCAGTGGAGGGTCCCAGCATCAGGCATTCTCTATCTGTTTCTGCTCTGTGCTCGTAGTAAATCTTCTTTCTTTATTATCCTGTGTTATTTTATTTGTTAATGAAGTTCTCCTTGATTATTTTGGTGACTGTCATTAACCTCAGCCATCAGGAGTAGTAAGTATTTTATCACATACACACTCAGAATTTTTCTACCAGTTGTGGTTTTACCTACTTGTAAAGTTTATTATTCATCATTTCAAGTGCCATCTGGACTACTGATAAGTAAATGTCTTTAAAAATTTCTGAAAGAGATTTCTTCAAGTTTTGCCATCCACCAGGCCCTCTCAGCATCCCACAGCCTGATCTCCAAGGAGGCCGATATGTATTCAGCTGCTTTTTTTATTAACACTGGTGGCTTCCTAATATTAAAAATGTATGCACCAAGTTACCCCAATAGAAAACATGCATGGATTTGGATGAAAAATAAATTCTACTTCAAATAGTCACCCACTCTGCCTCTGTGCCCACCCCTGTGGTCCAGAATGGACATCTTTCTATAGAAAAAAAAAAAAAAATGAAAGCTGAAGCCCAACATTCCAGTGCGCTTGCCTCTCTTGAGGTCTCTATCAGTGGCTATTAAAATTTAAAGTGCACTGCATAATCCTTGACTCAAGAAAATACATGCCACTTATATTCCTTCAGCCGCTGGCAGCTTCAGCTATTCTGTGCTGTTCCGATGGGAACAAAAGAACCCATGCAACAGACGGGGACCACGTAAATGTCAGCCGAAAACCACATGAAGAAAGAAAACCTTGGCTGATATCTCCTTTCTAATGTCAGTCATTTTAATGACTCGCTATTTAAACGCCAGCTTTTTTAAATAAATAAATTTGTTTAAATACCATGATACTGTGTAGACTAACTCATGTGTGCCTTTTAGTTTTAGGCCCAAAAGTAACAGTAGTATAAAAACAATACGTTTGATATCACAATCCCAAAGACTACATAGATATATAAACTCCAGGGTTAGTCCCATAAATTATTAGTAGGGAAGGGTTTTTTTGAATTATCCTGTTATTTCTGTTGTTGTTGTTAATAGAGATCACCCTGATTAGTTTCCTTGGCTATCATTAACAACAGCCATCAGAAACAGTAAGTGAACCACTCCAAATCTTTTTTTTTTTTTTTTTTTTACTTCTCATGAATTCCTAATCCATCACAGCACTACCAGTCCTGTAGGCAGCTTTCCAAGGTCAGCAAACAATGGTTTCTTCCCCTATTCTTTCCCCTGCCTTGGTCCTCTCCTTGTGAATGAGGAGACAACTTTTCTTCAGTTAAAAATCCAGTGTCCCTGCATTCAGGAGTCCAAAGGCTACTTCTCTCTGGACTGTCTCCTGCACACCCTGCTCTCCCTACCCCACACCTGCTGCCACCCAACACACTACTGACAAATTAATCTTCCTAAACGCTCAGCCCTAATGGTCTCTAAAGCCCTCACACCCTTCAAGGGCTCTTCAGGGCCTACTGAAAGAAGTGTGTGTGGACCCTCTATTACCCAGATTCAAAGCCCTTCATCAGCTGACCCCAGCTCTCTTTAATTTTCTCTCCTCTGCTCTGTGCTGCAGCAAGTTCCAGACCAGTCACAGCCCTACTTCCTGCCAGGACTGCATACTTTTTCAAGCGAATACAGAACGATAATAATAATAAACAAATAGGAAATGAGATCAAATTTCACTAAACAAAAAAATAGGAATTTGATAGTATTTGTTGTATTGCATAGTGTAGTCTTCAACTTAGTTGTTCAGATTGCCAGATACACACATACAAAATCAGAAAAGAAAGAAAAAAAGTTCAAAGTTCCAAGAAATTAAGAAGAGAGAAAGATGGGGGAAAAGGACAGTAGAAGATGGAAAAAAAAAAAAGCATTATCTGCACCTTTCCCTAGAACAACAGAAATGCACAGTACAATTATCCAAGCCATCCTGCATACAAATATAGATAGACCTCTTTCTCCTGAACACTGTATTGTCTCCCTAGTGTACAATCCTGAAAGAGTAAATAAAATCTGAAGGATACAAGAGATACTGTAAAAAGGGAATGAGTGTGGACCACATGCATGCTTGAGAAACACTTCTTTCCTCATGTTTCTCACTATGGACACAGAACACCCTTCCTAAGAGAGTTCAGATGTGACCCCACCTGCAATGCATTGTGACACCTTTTCTAGACTGCCCTACTCATTGTTCTCCAGTCCAACACTAGGGATTTATCTCATAGTGATTTATTCAGCTATAAACTCTTAGACTCAGTTCAGCTATGTCTAAATATGGGGTTAATAGTGGGAGCTATGAGTATTAGCTATGTACAGTACTTAAAGCACAGACGTGGGTTTTGTGTCAGTTGTTCATACATATGAAGGAAGTTGATGTTTTGGGGGACAAGATCTTGCTGTATCGTTCAGGCTGGTCTTAAACTCTCTCTCTGTAGCCCAGGCTGGCCTTGAACTTGAGGCAATCCTCCTGCCTCAGCCTCCCAAGTGCTGGGATTATAGGCATATGCCACATCACCATGCAGAAGATAATGACTGAGTAAGATTTTGTTTATTTTTCATCTTTCATTGCCCCTACTTATCATTTAGGAAGTAATAAAGAAGGACTTGTGCAAGAAGCCACATATCTGGGGCAGAAAAAGAGCCTTCAGTTTCAGATTCAAAGCACATAATATCTGTAATTAATGAGCTTGAAAGTGTCTGTGTGTGTGTGTGTGTGTGTGTGTGTGTGTGTGTCCAGCCTTTCACTAGACAAAGTATTAAATTAGGCCACTACACTACCACTTATCGTATTTTGAAAAACGTTGACTGCAACATCCAGGCTGAAGTTCTTTTGAGCAAGAGAACAGGTATAACAAGGACCCTTCCCACAGTTACAAAAGAGCAGGCTGCCTTTGAGTCAGCCCCTCTCCTCCTTTTCAGCTCTCCTGAGTGCTCACTTGAGTAGAAAGCAGATGTGATGCCACTCTGTCATTTTGGTCCACAGTTTCTCACAGTGCCTTCCTCTTCTAAAAAAAAAGACCTGGAGGCCCGGATTCTAATCTGACTTGTACTATGATGACTCTCTTAAAAGAACCATTTGGATGCCTGCAAGCACAGCAGAAAGTATTTGGACATAAAACACCATTAGTCAAAATCATGGTGGCCTCCCAGAAGCCCTCCGTAAGATCAGAGCAGCCATTTTGGATTCACTTCAGGCAAGACTGACTACATGCCCCTCACTGCCCATCAAGGGGGAACATGTTTTGTTCCTCCAAAAGATGCCATCTTCAATCATGAGCCTGGCATGAAAATATGAGCTGCAGCATATTCAAGTGTTCTGAAATATTCTAGGCATTGTGCACAATCAGTTTGCAGACCCTGCAAACTCTAAAAGCACTGGGTGCATCTCAGAATGACATGGGGTGACACAGAGTTCCCCCAGAGCACAGGGCGTGCAGTTACTTGGGAGGGCTGGTCACTGCAAAGCACACTCCACAGTCCAGCGGCTGGATGACCACTTGTGCAACACCAAAGAAACATTTTAAGTGGACCAGAGTCCTTGAGCTTCCGTGCACACAGCACACACGACAGCCAAAGACAGCTCCTTATTTGCACTTGTCTCTTGCACTTCCCAGGCAGTGCTCAGGGAGGGAGAGAGGTGAGCCTTTACAGGCAGCAAGGCTTTCAAGCCCCACTGAGCACACGAGTTCTCAGGGGAGCTGCCCGCAGCCTGCCGGGTCACTGCCTCCTAATTTCCCTGGGCGGTGCCTGATGACTCAGCAAGAGCCGGCACGCTAATGCTTGCGCAGAAGCAATCGCCTACGTCCAAGAACTGGAGCCAGAGGAACGCTGTCTCACTCTCCAGCTGTGAGAACTGGGGCAAGTCCTTAACTCACTGAGCCTCCCCGTCTCCCCCCACCAGAAGCCTGTAATAGGAGAATGGGAGTAGGCATGGAGGTAGGTTAATATTTTTATTTTATAAAAATATCTTTTTTTTTTTTTTTTGTATTTTAGTACCGGGTCTCTCACTACATAGATCAGACTCATAGTGATCAGCCTGTGTTCAGCTTCCCAAGAGCTGGGATTATTACAGGCTCGTGCCACCACACCCAATCTCAGTCCCTGTCTCAGCGAGCCCCAGGAGTGGGACCTGCACAACATGCCAGGGATCAAACTCCGGCCACTGCATCTGAAAAATATCTTTAATGATTTCTTCAGATGCCAAGCCAATATATTATGCTTCCCCATTACGACGCCTCCTTAAGGTTGGCGCTCTTGTTAGCATCCTATAGCTGCTACCATATAACAAAGTCTACAAAGGCTTAAAGAAACACATCTATTATCTCAGAGTCATGGAGGATATAAATTCAAAAGGAAGGGATCAGCAAGGCCTGCCCTTCTGGTGGTCAGCTGTAGTGCTTGGTATGTGGGGCTTGTGGACATGATAGACACCACACTCCCGTTTCTGCCTCTGTCTTCAGCTCTGGAGTCTTTCGGAGATCTGTATCCAAATTTCTCACTTCTTATAGGTGCATCAGCAGCTGTTTTAGGACACACGTGGATTCAGCACGGCCTTTCTTTAATTTGAATAACTGCGCGAAGTCCATACGTCCACAGAATATCACATTTATGGATTCTGGAGGTTCAGGTTTCATTTTCTCTTTTGGGATACTGCAATTCAACATGCACAAAGTACGCAGCCCCTCACTCATACGATTACTAACAAGGGGCTGCGTCGCCTAGCCCGGGGAACCCTATTCGTTAGCATTGTCCCAATGTGTTACTTGTTTCCGGCAATAGGGACCATGATGTGGCTGCAGATACCAGGCACAACTCCTGCCACATATGAAAGCCTCATTAAGTGTCAAATGCATGAGTACTGCAAGTGAATGGACATGAATTACGGAGAACAGTAGATGCAGAGTGATGATTTGGTGGACACTCAGATATCCCTGCTTGTGAGTACGACGGCCCTACGCCTGTCAGGACGCATGTCCTCACAGTCTCACAGAGGACAGCTCGTTCAAATGCAGGAGTCAGAAAAGGCAGTGGGGTGTTTTGTTTCTCAGACTTATTTCACTGTACCAATTTCTCCTCCTCCTCCAATTCTTCTCCGAATAAATGACAATGGGGCCTCTTCACCCTTCTCCATAATTCCTGTCCTCTCCACTCTGCATCCACTAATTGGCAACCCTCACAAGCTCCTCTGTATCTCTCATACCAGCACCCTCCTCCCCATCCCCACCACTACTTTTTGTTAGCTGAGGGCCTTTTTGTGACGTAGATTGCTTATTTTGTTATACTGATTTTTGGCTCCTCTAGTCCTTCCACCAGAATACATGTTCTAATATGCAAGCCTGATCATTCACTTGTTTCAGTTACCTCAGCGACTGTTCCTTTGCCCTGAAGGCGAGTGCTAAGATCCTCAGCAGGTCACATGTGGCAGACATCACTGGCTGGGTGCGCATCAACACCCACTTCCTGTGTTCCTGGACACACAGCTGGAGTTCTTCAGCCAGGTTCATTCCACTGTGACCGTGGAAGTTCCTAGTCAATGGAATGTGAATGCAGGTAGTGTGTGTTCTGTCCATCCTGCTTCACAGAACCTCCTAGGCCACCACCCTGTTTGGTCTCCCCGCAACCCAAGTCTTTGGCTAGATACAGCATCTCCACCTTAGGGCTCCAGGATATAAGAAATGGTAAAGCCACAGGATGGAAAAAAATTGAATTCATGATCAATATTAAAGGCCACCAGCCACTTGAGTGAGGAATTAATTTCTATTTTGTTAACAATCAAGTTGTGGTGGCTGTTATCTCCACGGTGAGTTTGCTCAGGCTGATAGATTGCTCTGTTTCTGTCTCCTGCCCCAGATGCCTGTCCTGTGCCGTCACCCATCCACTACAGTTCTTCTTTCTATGCCATCTTTTGCCTCTGTGAAATGCTGTAACTTTCCAAACTTGTTATCTCCCCTTTGATTTTATCCCTCTGCCCCATCTCTTTGCCTGATTTATTTTCCTGCATTATACTTACCATCACTTGGCATATTAGATATTAATTCGCTTATTCTCCATTCCCACTAGAAATACAAGCTTCCTGAATATGATCTTCAATTTCTTTGCTATTGGATCCCTACCACCTTGACTAACCTGGTCCAAAGTAGAGCCTTGTATGTTTCTTGAACAAATATTGAGCAACTTCAAGTACAATTGGCATGGTACTATAGTAAGTGCTTGCTTCATGCATGTGTGTTGATCCTCACAAGAGCCCTATGAGCTAGCCCTGTTAGTTAGTCTCATATTATATAAAAGGAAACTAGGAAGGCTTGGAGAGGTTAAATTCCCTGCCAGATATACCTAACAAGCTCACAATTTGGACCCAGGCAGACAGAATAGAGAATCCTTACATTTAACCATTAATTGATGGACCATAAATGTTTTGCAATGCATTCTTTTCAGTCCGTAGCAAAAAGTACTGAATGCCTAGAAATCAGCAAACAAGTGAACAAGGCTTGTCCTACTGTCCTTAAAAGGTGAAATACCATTCAGAAATTCTGTTCAGGAACATGCACAGCAAAGCTACACAATCTCCCGTGCTTAATGTCACTCTTAATCTTACAGAGCAGTAAGTTAATCATATCATTCCTTGAAGGTAACATAAACACTTAAAATGCTTTCCTTCCAACTCTTGTGACTTTACACTTCACTTCCTGCCTTTTCTGGTTCAGCACCATTGAACTTAGTGAGTAAATGGGCAAATATATATCTTCAGACCATACTAAGTATATCTTTTGATGTGTTCATGTTCCAAAATGAATGTCACTCATGTTACAACCTCTCAGGTGCTTAGAAGTATTAGCAATTTCCCTTTCCTTTGCTATTTTTTTCTCTAGGCTATCTATGCTATATTACTTCAATCTCTCTTTGTACAGTAAGTCATGCCCTCTAATCCATTTATCATTCTTGCCCCTCTTGCCTGCTATCTTTCCTTTTCATCTTTTTTTAAAGGCAAGATGGTCCTCTAACAAACACAGATACACACTCCATGGTTCCTGCACTGCAGGACCACTCTTTCCAGCAAGATCCTCTCCTGACAACAGTTTATGTCATTTCAGGTCTCTCTTTCTCTCTTACTCCGCTCAACTCTTTGGACAGCGCTTTACCTCTCTTTCTCATTTTTCTTCAGTTTTCTTCTACGATCATAACTACTACTTTGATCTGCTATGATACACGCGATTTTTCTTCAGGAAACATAATTTATGTCCCAATCTCTTGAAACTCAGTAATTCCAAAGAAAGAGTAAATGTAAGTAACCATCAGTAAATATTGTAACCCTGGTGAAATCAGACCTAAGACAGAGTTCAAGCTAATCTCTCCATTAGCAAAGAAATCCATCTTATCCCAAATGGTGCCTGTATGAACATTGTCAGTATCCAGCCTGAGCCTGCAGAATTTATAAAGAAGAGGAAATTCTGTATTGCTTTTCCGCATTCCTGTTTATGTTCGCAGGTAAGTTGTCTACATACCCTATTTACCCTAACCCACGTGGGCTCACACTCAAGCTTCAATATCAACCACTGTTCTATCAGTCAACTAACTTGATAAACTATTTCCAATTAATGGAAATTAAGGAAACATGCCTTTATCTTCGATCATCAGATGACATTTCTGGGCCTCCGTTTCTTTGTATGTGAAGTAATGATAGTATTCAGCTTCCTGACTGTCTTTAGGTAAAAAACTCTCAGTTACCCACATGCTTATTACAAGCACAACACATTAGTTGTTATGGCCTCTTCCCTAAACACTCACAACAACTCTTCAAGGATAATTCTGATATTATGATGTTCTCCTCCTATGAGTCCTGGTCCATTATGTATTTATTAGGACAATCATGGAACAGGAGAAACAAAGGCAAAAGAGCAACTCTGAAAAAGCTAGGAAATAATAGGTTGAGAATACAATGGCAGGGGGAATACTCAAGAGACAATATGGATCTGGGGAAAACAGGAAGAGTAGAGGAGACAAGAGTTTTGCAGGAATGTAAGGAAGACGCTGGAGGGGCTGCACAGACCTGACTTCCAGGGCGAAAGAATAGTGAAAACAAAGCAACATGAATGGCCATTTTATTTTGATTTTGATTCTTGAAAAGACCATTCCATGTGGAGCTTTGGCTTTATAAAAGTGATTAGTAGACTGTGAACTTTTCTGTCATCCATGGATAGGGTTTGTCCCACCTCTTCAAATCTTTGACCTCTGCATGCATGTATGAGATGCTACAATGAATGCTACTTAGGAATTCCAGCATAATATTAGCAAATATTCGCAGAAGTTCGTCCTCATGCTACCAAAGCGATAGGCACAGAGGCATTAAAAAGCAAAGCTCAAGGATTACCTGCAATTTTATTTATCAGTATTCTTTTCCGTTAGTGTGCTTAATCAAGAATTGACAGCAGGAAGGATTACACATTTTCATACTTGCTAATGTTCATTCTGTGACTTTCCAAAGATGTTTTTTCAGAACTTGTTCTCCTTGTTAGTTCTTTAAGGACCCTTGCAATAAATGTATGATTTTATTGGCATAGTTCAGTAGCTAAGGGCATTCTTTTCTTTCATAGCTTTCTAACTCTGGTGCAGAAAACCTTCTGGACTTTGGCTCCTGAAAGCTTCTTGCCTCTGTAATTGAGTTAAAGGTGTAGCCAGAACTGCTAATTAATTCCGTAGCAGAGTCCTCCAGTCGGCTGGCTTCCCTCTTCAGATGAAGTGGTCTGTCTGGTCCCTTGTTCTCCTTCGTTTTCTAATTCTATTGCTTCAAAGAAATATTTTGGTAGTTGTTGCTGTTTGGCATTCTGGAATCTGTTTCTACAAAATGCAGCTTATCCACAGCAGGCCTAATCTTTAAAGAGGCATTGACAGCTAGCTTATTGCAGAAACAATTTTATCAGCCTTGGTCCCAAATCCAAATAACACTTTATTTGGCACCTCGTCTATTCATAGACCTCTCTCCATTCATTCGAATTCCAGGTACTACATGTACTAAGAACCAAGAACATAATGAAAGGTAAGTTTCCTGACCTATGGAGCAAAAAGGATTTCATCACAAACATTGGAAAGAAATGGAACCTATTTTTTTAAGGTAAATTCTGTCCAAAGTAAGTCATCACAGTACTGTGTAGCTGTGTGTTGTGCACTTACTCTGTGGGCCTCTCTCTGTCCTTATGTTCACCCTCTTAATGTTCTCAGCAACCCTATGAGTTAAGTGCTTTTAGCCCCATTTCACAGCTGAGAGAATGGAGGCTTAGGGAAATTAAAGCCTTGGCCCCAAGTCACGCAGCTCTCAGTGACGGAGCTAGGATTAGCATCCACGGTGGCAGCACTGCCATGGTCTTCATTTCATACATAGAAGAGTGGGCCACAGAGGCTCTGGCAGGCAGGAGGTGACATGCTGGTGCCCTAGAAGAAAGAGGAGCTGGGAAGAAAATAGTGTGGCTTAACCAGCACCCAGGAACTGGAAAGCAGTGGAAGCAAGTGCAGACAGGCAGGCCAGGGGTGCTGCCAGGAGGCTGGTGACAGCCAGACCTGAGCCCTACAGAATGGTACCAATGCTGGGGACTTCTGAGCCAGGAAAGAACTGGCCAGCAGTTTACCTTGGTGCATAAGGAAATCTACAAGTGCTCTCTGCAAACCCTGAAATTATGGATGTCTCAGGATCCAAGAAAGGAATACACCTCTCCTCTCAGGCTGGGACTGTAATGAATGACGGTAACAAGACTGCAGGCATCACGTAAAAACAGTGGGCAAGACTTGTCAGGGGTGTGAGAAATGATCACAAAAAGACAGCAAATGTTATTGCCACTGTTGAACATCATATGCACGAGTCAGGCAAAGGTGTCCTTTGTCAGTTTAAACTTTATGTATCAAGTCCTCAGATGCTTTTACAGTGAATTGAAGCGTGCGTGAATGGATGCATAACTAAATTAATGAATATGATGTTTTAGAAAAGCGAAGTCTGAAGAAGATCAGAGAACATCCCAAATAAAATTAGGGCCCACAGAATTATTCCTGGAAGCAATCCCCATTTTCTGTGTTCTTTAATTTTATTTTTATTTGCTCTTGTGTAACGAAGCACACTGACTGCACTTCACTTTCTCTAAATCTTCCTTAGGAGTTTTTCTCTGAATTGTTTTAGATAATGTGATAAACACTCTGATTTAGAGGTGCAATTCCAAAGAAACTCTCCAGCAAAATTTGAAGCCCAACCAACACCTCTATCCAGTTAACTTGAGGGTGTTAGATTCTCATGCAGAACATGCATCCCGAAAAGGATGCAGAAGGTCAGTCGCCTACCTGAAGGAAATTAACCTCAGGCTTCAGAATTGAAATTAGACAGGAAGAGAGCAACAAAGAGGGAAAAAATGGGACAAGAGAGGTAGCGAGATACCTGCATTAAAGGCAAACACAAGCTTTATGGCCACCACTTACTTTGTTCTTGTTGTTTTGCTTGGGCGCTTGTTCGTTTATGTGGGCCCTATGCACAGCCTAAGGAAAAGAGAAGAGGAAAAGGAAGGGAGGAAAAAGACATCCTTCATCCTAAATACTTACGATGACTAAAATTAGAGTTTTCCATGGATCTCACCATTCATATAAACCCTAAGTTTATAGTGAATAAGATAAAGCCTTCAAAGTTAGATCTCCTGTGAATCTCAGTAGCAAATAATGTGAATTTGCTATTCACCAAGTGGCACATGATACAAGGTGTGCCTTTTCTCTGTGCCTCAGTTTCCTCATTTTAATCTGAAGATAAAGCCTCTAGTTAGTTGCCAAAATTAAATGAGATGATATCCTTAAGCTCATAGCATCTGACCAGAGCACAGCAATATGCTCAATAAAATGCAGCTAGTTTTTAGAAAGTATTACACTGCGCTAGGTACTGAGTATGAAATGTATTTATCATGACAGGTGCTGAGAACCAAAAGAAATGCAAGCTTTCTCCTTCCGCTTCTGCAACCAGCCAAACTTCTGGGCATAAGGCTGCTCTCATTGCAACACCATAAAAGTAAGACGGGCAGAAGAAAATGGATGGAATAAATTTGAAAAATAGAGGCGAGCTCCTGATCGAACATTACTGCCGCTCAGGATTATGGAGATTCGGGTCATCAGCTAACCAGTGTTGCTCAAAGTAGTGTTGAAATCTCTAGTGGAAAAAGGATGAAAGGTCAGAACCAGCTGTTTGTGGTACTGGAATTATAAGAACCTGAATGTGATTTTGAGAAGAGATGTGCTAAAGGGGAAAAGAGATGCTCATTTTTATATAGATCTTATTATTTGCTAGCAAAGGCAAGTAATACCTGGGAGGAGAACAAAAAGAAAATCTCTCTTAATATCTTCCTTAGAAAAAATAATCTTCTGTGGACACCTATGTATGTGCACGAGAAGGTGCAGCCCATGGTGGTAGCAGCCAGTTACTACTCTTGTGCCATGCGAAAAAGGGAGAAGGTTCTGGAGACATCACTTCTACTTGAATCTTTCAGCTCTGTACTTAAGCATGTCTATTTAGCATTTTGAAATACCACTTTCTTTTCCCTGTAACTAACCTCATATGTACTCGGGAATAAGCTACACTTCAGTGTAGTATATGTTTCAAGACCTCTTTCCAACTGAGTAAAAATTTTCTAGAATTTACATTCTTACATACCATATTTAGCTCTTGGAGTAACAACATAATCTCCCTCAACTGAGTCACTCATATAAGTTATTAATAATATAAGAAATCTTACTTGAATAAATAAGATGTAATTCCTCTA